AAAAAAAAAAAAAAAAATTGTGTGACCACAAGGTTTTATTACTCTATATATAGCACACTCATATATGGTCCTGGAGACCACCTTCTATTGTTGAGAGTAATAAATAAAAGCTCACCTAATTCTCCATACATGTTAACATATACATGGATTCTGCAATATATATATATTTTCAAAATCTATAGCTTGGTTTGAATAATCTTACATCATTCATAAGTGTGACAATATTATATTACCCATTGCTAAATGAATTAGTAAAGAAGAAAAGACCAATATAGTCATTGTGCAACCTTATAGCCATGATCATGGCCAAACACTATTCATAAACTCTATTTCATTTTCTTTCCATTTAATTTTGATTTTGGATTCTTATTTTTAACCCAAAATACTTAATTTGGAGAAATAAATAACAACATTTTGTAATAAAAATGAATATTAATGTTCACTTTTTTCCTTCACACCCATTCTCCTTCTTCGACTCCACGCGCCCGTCAGTCCCCGCCATCATCGCGTACTTATCCTTCCTCGTCAAATTCGTGCACTCAAACCCTAAAGTCCCGGCCAGAACCCTCTGAATATAATTCGCGACCTCGATCGGCGATTTCCCACCTCTGACGGTCAGCTCGATCGGCAGCTGCTCCAGAAACGTGATCTCGTACGTCGGCCTGGGGTTCATGAACACGAAATACGGGTCCAACACCTTGTGCCCGCGTGTCGTCGTCCCGTAAAAGACGCTCTGTCTCGTCCTGATCGCCACCGGAACGATCCTGTCGCTCAACTCCGCGAAAAGCGCGCTGAACCTCAGAAGAAACGGCTCCCGGCATGTGGTTCCCTCGGGGCAGATGACCAAATCGCCCTCCTCCAACAGTCGTCGGATGTTCGCCGCGTCCTTATCCCTCTCCCTCGACAAGGCCACCGCCTTAATCGGCGAAATCAGCTCCGAGAACTTACTTATGCTGTAAGTCACGCAGCTAATTTTTCGACCGAGAGCGACCGCCGTGACCACCGGGTCGAGCACCGTGCGGTGGTTACAGACGAACAATACGCCGCCACCAGACTTGGGAGGCGGGGGAGGGTTGCCCCGGACGATGAGCTTGATCCCGAGGGCGGCGTACGTGTACCGTACGATTCTTTCGGGCAAGGGGATGTTGAGGTAGACCCTAACAAGGGACAAGATGATGCCAAGTGGCATCCATAGGAAGGTGACAAGTGCCACTAATGGAGTGGGCCTTTGTACTAAGCGGCCCTCGTGGAATATGACTTGGGACAAGAGTTTGTTCCTCAGGAGTGGTTCGGTTTTTGTACGAGGCACCATATATGCCTCCTGCAGTACAAAATTTATATAAAATAAAAAATAGAAAATGAATCACAAACCAAAAGTATAAAAAAATAATCATTAATGACCTGCAGCAAGTTGGGTGAGAAAAAAGATAATTAATTAATGATAATCTTGATAATTAATTAATTAACTAATTACGCCTCGACCTCTAGGCGAAATTAAACCTCTAAAATTATTTCTATTGATGGCTATTTAATCCATCATCATGATGTGTTTGTAGTCCTTCACTGTATGTCATCTAAATTAAATTATTTACCCTCTTTACATTGAAGGTATCCAATTAATTATCTACACTTTATTTTTTTTACTTTTTTGCAAAAATACAAC